AATCGCCTCGGGGCTGGGGATTTAGCTCAGCGGCAAAGCGCCTGCCTGGCAAGCGCAAGGTCGTGAGTTCAGTTCCCGGTACCGGAGAAAAACCAAAAAAAAAAAAAAAAAAAAAAAAATCGCCTCTGCAGAAGGGATAGGCCCCAGGCGGCTTCCTGGGGTAGGACATTTATTGCTCATTTTCTGACGGTCACACCTAGCTTGCCCCGGAATCTTTAATCATTTCCCTTAAAATGCATTTTTCACATTCCTGTCTCCTGTTGAGTTCTTTGCTTCTGTAATTGGACTACACTTCACTCTATATGGAAGAAAGGTATTATTTATACCCCACCACACTCCAAGGAGAGGGTGTACTGCAGGCACAGCTGAACCAGCCTGATCTCACCCCACTTCTTGTCATCCCTCCTTGCCCGCTAGCAGAGTGTCAGCCAAACCTCTCAGCGTCACCTAGGAGCTATGTTGTTCGCTGCACGTGTCGCTGTCTGGCAACAGCTCGGTGCTTGTCCCCTGTCCTTGTCCCCTGTCCGTCTGGCCCGTCACGTTCTGTCTGTGCCGGCCTCACAGAATCTCTCCAGCCTCTGTGCTCCTTTGCTGTTGCCCACTTCACAGGTCAAGTTACCTGACCGTTGGCCGTGGTTACATCTCTGCTTCCGTTTTTGATGGCTTTCTCTTGATGAAGGAAAACTTTCAGGTTCCTTTTCATGGCTCTGTGAAGCCCCTCATAATCTAGCCGTCCTCTGTTTCTTTGTCCATCTTCTGTTCCCTACACCAGGCACACTTGCCTCTCTGATTCTGCAGTGTGCCACGCTGTTCACTACCTCAGGGCCTTGTATGCGCCGTGGCCTGTGCCGCTTTTTCCCCTTCATCCCTTGCCAGCACGGCCCTCCAGGTCTTGAGTTCAGTGTCAGTATATTTGAGAGATTTCCCAGGACACACACATCCTACCACTTCGAATTCCATCTAAGTCCAAGTAACTAGTGGAGTCTGGTGTAGTTTGTACCTTCTGTAGCCCAGTATCTGTCGCTGTGCCTGTCATGAAAGTTATATAAGTGTTTACCAGTGGGCTTGGAGGCGCCTAGGATAGCTAAACGGGATGTCACCACTGTTGGGAGCTAAGGAAGTCAAGCCTAAGAAGTTTTTACACACACAGTTTTGTTAGGATTGCTGTATTCTGCAAACTTGGAAGCATTAAAGTGCCTGGGAGCCATGCTTGACTCACAATAGCCCACCTGCTTCCTTCTGGCCTGTTTCCGCAGATAGAGTTCAAAAACGTAACTTGTTTCCCACATTGGATGTTGCATGTCTCATCAGATTTCAGAATATCAAGAGCCTGACAGGGAGTTTCTTGAGAAAACTGTAGAAAAGCCCTAGAATTGTCTGTCCTGTTTCCCCAGCTCCAATACTGTTGGCATTGGTAGCAGGAGAAGCTGCTGGCATCATGGAAAACATAAGTGATGATGTGATTGTGGGCCGTTGCCTGGCCATTCTCAAGGGGATTTTTGGTAGCAGTGCAGTGCCCCAGGTAAGTAGGTGGGGGAGACAAGCAAGGTCTGAGTTCAGACTACACCAGGGTTTGGCTTGACATACATTCATATGTTTGGCATAAGTTCTTAGTCAGTTTCAGAATTGTCTGTGCAGGAATTTCATGAACTTGAATGTTTGGAACTCTGCCCTACAAATGACACTCATAAAAGCCCCCCAAGGGCCGGGGATATAGCTCAGTGGCACAGGCGCCTGCCTGGCAAGCACAAGGTCCTGAGTTCTATTCCCGGTACCAAAATAAATAAATAAAAACCCCCCAAGAGTTAGCTTGGTTTCTCCTCTGTGGAGCCACAAAACCCTGCCTTGTAGATGGAGTGGCCAAACTCCAGTCTCTTCCTTTAAGAGAATCTCTTGGTAATTGTACCCTTCTCTTTAGGCTCATTGTAATGTTTAGTCCCTTATGATTTCTTTGTTAGGCGACACATTAATGTCCTGTGTGAATGTATAAAAGCAAATACAGGTCGTCCTAGACCTGGATTCATAGGCAGCATAGTGCAGGGTTCCTCCACTCTGAAGTCAATCTGGTCTTGCTGGATGCATCCTCCGCCTGGCTCATGTTGTGCCTCTTCTCCATGTACCCACCCACCATTTCTTTTCCACATTTCAGAGATGACTGGTTTGTCCTTGTTCCAACCATGACTTTGGCTGTTTTTCTTTAGCCCAAGGAAACAGTGGTGTCTCGCTGGCGTGCTGATCCCTGGGCCCGGGGCTCCTATTCCTATGTAGCTGCAGGATCATCTGGAAATGACTACGATCTGATGGCTCAGCCAATCACTCCCGGCCCCTCAATTCCAGGTGCTCCACAGGTGAGAAGCCCGCAGACTACATCTGGGTCTCTTTGGCAAGCACCCAGTGTCCCAGGATCTTGGGGAAAGATGTCACTTTTGTTTTCATTTTAGTCATTCTGTCCTTTAGACACTTTTCAGATAACCCAAAGGAGAAATAGTACTATTTGTATCCGATTTCTCATATTTTGACTTTTAAATGTAGGCCTTCTACATCCAAAATGGAAGAGTCCAAAGTATACAGAAGTCAGTAACATTTTTCCGTAATTTTTCCACCTTAAAAACAATCCATGTTAAATTGTACCTCACTTTATAGTGACTCATAGGATTATTGTTGAGTCTTAGGCTCACTAGGGGCTTCAGAGGATGCCCAGGAAATAGCCTTGGGTTCTTGTCTAGATTATGCCAGTCTTTGTTATAAATAGTAAGGGTTCATCAGTATCATAACTCAGAATCTGTGGCCTGCTCTGAACTGAGGTGCAAGTTTGAGACCAGGGTTAGAACCCTAACCCTGCTGCCGGTGGGTATTTCAGGAGGTAAAGAAAATCCTAGAATTTGGCTGTCAGCATACTGATAAAAAGAACAGATGCACCGCTGTTAATAAGCACCACTCTAGAAGTGAGACTGGCTGGGTTTTATTGCCTCACTTCTGTCAGTTCTAGGAAAATGCTGATAGAAGAGACTGGTAGAATGATGAACTAGTAACAAGGCAGGGGATGTAAGGCTTCAGAGGTTGAGAATGTGGGCAGTTCAAACACAAAAGCTGGGCATGGTGGCACACACCTGTTACCACAAGCACTCTGGGAGGCTGGAGGATTCTGAATTCAGGTGCAGCTTGGGCAACTTAGACCCTGTTTGCAAAAAGGCCTAGGGAGGTAGCTCACAGTGGAAGGCCTGGGTTCAAATCTCCAGTACCACCAAAGGGGCGGGGGAACAAAAAATAATAATAAAGGTGTATTTGCCAGCACACTGGAGAGTTAAGGCAGAAGGATTGTGAATTGTCACTGCTGTATAGTGAGGCCGTTTTTAAAAACCCAAGGTCTATTTGTCATCTTTTCCTTACTTGTCCCTTGAAATAGCCAATCCCACGCCTCTTCTTCGCGGGAGAACATACAATCCGGAACTACCCAGCCACAGTCCATGGTGCTCTGCTGAGTGGACTGCGAGAAGCAGGAAGGATTGCAGACCAGTTCCTGGGAGCCATGTACACTTTGCCTCGCCAAGCCACACCAGGTGTCCCCGCACAGCAGTCCCCAAGCATGTGAGACAGGTGCGCTGTGGAGGACGACCCTGGGTCTCACTGTGAGCACAGCTCTTCTAGCAATACTAGACGGCACTGAGAAGCGCCTGCCCTGGCACCTGGGCTCACAGGAGGAATCCTGTTCTTAAAGACTGAGGCAAGGAAGTGCTGTAAAGTAACATCTTAGTCTCTTGGTGGTGGTTGTTTTTTGTTTTTTTTTTTTTAGTATTTTGAGAATAAAACTTCATACAAAATTAGTCCTATCTTTTGTTTCCCTTTTGGGGTTCTAAGGAGTGTTACTTCTTCAGAATGCCATTTTAACCTTCTGTCAGTGGTAATATATGTATTTCGTATTTAAATGAGAAAGTTCTTAAGGAGAAAAATGGTTTGGTCAGGTCGGAAGCTGAGGTTGAGAGGGGTCCTGTAGATGAGAGGACTTGCTGGCCACTGGGGCTTGACTCCCTCCGGGGCTGTTATGATCGGCTAAGAGTGGACGGCTTTTCAAGATAACACAGGGCTTGAAACCGTTCGGGCCACTGGCAGCCATTCTGCCTTTATTCTCAGATCCGTCCCACGGTACCATATGATTCGGTAGGTATTACATCAAGAAAGGGTCAAGGACTTGGGTAACTTAGCTGATGTCACATGCTACCACAAACTTAAGTGACTTAATATAACAGGAATTTTCTCTTCCAGGTCTGGACGGCCAGTGTCTAAAGATGGCAGTTTGAAAGTTATAAGTAAATTTGGCCTGAAGGGCTATTTATGGTGGAGGTTGAAAGGGAAGAATCCATTCTCTTGCCAGTTTTAGCTTCTAGTGCCTGTCTCTTGACACACGCCCCTTCCCTTGTAGTGAGACCTTCCTCCCTCTGAAGGATACTTGCACTTAATTCTGTCTCCTTAACGTCTGCAAAGTTCTCTTTGCCTTGTAAGGTAGACATTTTTACAGAAAGAAGTAAACAGTAGTGTTCCTTCCTGAGGGCTCCTAACAGAAAAACTATGTCACTATACCAAATGCCTTGGAAGCTTTGGGAATCAGATTGTACTATGCGTAAGTGGATTTCCTGAGAGCCTAAATGAGGTCTTACTGGAAAATGAAAGAAATAGAGAACCACATGCAGTGAACATGCTTGGGGGTACATCTTGAACCCTGATCCAGTGGTGGGTGCTTCTAGTTTCTTTTTTTAAATAAATGGCATAGGCAGCTTGAGAGTTTTTTAAGCCTAAAAATAAAATGTAGCAATGAAATAGCTATTTTAACCTGGTTCACCATAGATCCTAGGTGTGTCCTTTTCCAGGCCACTTCCAGACCTTCTAGCATCAGTAACTGGCATGTTATTTTATCTGAAATGGTGAAATGCACTGTCTGTGCTGGTGCAGAGGTAACAGCTGTACAGAGTTGACATCAATAAAGTTTGCATCAGAGTCACGGAGCATGTGGAAACTAGGGAGCTTTATTGGTTACATATTGTGCTGCAGAGCCAACAGAGAGAGCATTAGAGCCAGAGGATACATGCAGACAGGCAGCTTTGACTACACACATGCACCCAAGGAGCCCTGAGCCACTGCTCATGGCTTTGCCCTGGTTTCCAGCGGCGGGGTCTGGCCTTCTTGGTCCCGTGCTTGGAGCAGAAATGTAGAAGCCTCCAAGGGGCAGGAGTGAGGCCAGAGCACCTGCCTGAGCAAGTAGGTGTGGACCACCAGACGGATGCCCCAGCAAAAGGGCCTATGATGCAGTAACAGTTTATTTAAAGGCTATCTTCCTAGCCCTCCGTATCTTTAAAATACAAAAAAATAGACTTTATTCTCTTAAAAATACATTCCGTTCAGTACATGTTCTGAGCTGTGAAGCAGCAGGAAAATAGGGCCCCTTTCCTATGATCTTGATTGAGGCTTTGAAGAGAACCCTGTTGCCCACTTGGGGTATTCAAAAGAAAATCCCTAAAAGCAGCTGTTCCGAAGCAGTCTTGTCAGAGTAGCAACAAGGAAACCCACCAGCAGAAAGCCGGGGACCCAGGGGCCTGGTCCCTGTTCTTTACTGGGAAGTGGTAGCACTTGGCACTGTGACCCACTAAACCTAAAAACCTAGAACCGCCCCAGGACAAGAAGTCCAAGAACACAACAGACCCACCCCACCCCCCAGCGCCCCACAAGAGAGGGATGGTTCGTGTGCAAGCTTGCCTGCAGCTGAGATCGAGGTCCTTGGCCCCACACAGACCCCTGCCTTTTTAACCCACACTCAACCGTTTCACTGCCACTAAGAAGCAAGACCTACCTACAGCTTCTCTGTCGGCTATCTCCAGCTCTGTTCCAGCACCAGAGTGGCGAGGCACAGTGGCAGGTAGAAAAGCCCAGCTCCTGGCGTTTAGCCAGCTCTGTTGCCTCCCAACCAAGCAGCTATGCAGGGCCAGGTTCTCCAGCTTCCCTAGGAGCCTTCCCACAACCCTACACCTGCCAGGAACAGCCGGGCAGGCTGCAGAAGAGACTTGTCATAAAAGTGGGTTGGCTGGGACAGTGGGACTATTTGGCTTAGACCACTATTCAGTTACCAGGTCTCCCCTCTTCTTGGAGTCTTCCTCCAGGACCCTTGATTGTGAGGACTGGATCTAAATGGCCACACCTTAGTTCCTTTTCAGAAATGTGCCTTCCAACTTTGGAATCTGAGAGCCAGCCTTGCCAGCCATTTGAAGCCCAGAGGAACTGAACCTCTAGTCTTCACTTGCTAATACCTATTTTCTGCAATGCTGAAGATATTTAAAAATAAAATCTATTTTACAGCGGTTCTATAAAGTGTGCAGATTAAAGAAATAAAATATTTATCCTGAAATAATTGTTACAATCAAACCGTATTGCACTCAGATTTCAAAACGGCAGCCCCAGTAGAAGGGCACCACAGCTGTCCCTTTTCCACACAGCATTTTGAGTATCGGCACATGTCGGCGCTGCTAAAATGTAGAAAGATCCAGAATTGGCACCAGGAGCTACAGCACCAGAATCCAGGGCTCCAACACCCAAAGACAAAATATTGGCGAGATCTTTTTCAGCATGGCTTGGCGTTCTTCTGTTTCCATCAGCAAAGAGCCACAGGATTTCCTATACCCAACTGACCACCGCAGAAGTCAGTTTCCTTTGAACTCAGGGTTGCCCACGGGGGAGGGGAGGGGAGGGGAGGGGAGGGAAGCTGCAAGTGAGGGTCTGCAGCCTTGACTGAGCAAGTTGCTGGCCAGTGACCCAGGAGAAGCAGCAGGGAGAAATCTTGAAAACAGCATCCTACATTGTGCATCTGAGGCGGAATGTGGAGGGGAAAGGCAAGCCACATAACAACGGCAAGCCCAGAAAACAGAAGTATGAAAGCGAGACATCCTGTCCTGAAAGTAAGGTACGGGCTCTCCAAGCCTCAGAGCAGCAGTGTGACGCAGACATGGGCACAATGAACCCATGCCTGTGCGCAGTGGAGGTGGGGCACCGCTCGCAGTCCTCCCAGTGTTCCCTCTTCCCAGGAAATGCACAGGAGGCACAGGACAGGCCACGGAACAGACTTGTTTTAGAAAGCACCCAGCCTAAGAGCCAAGTGCTGATACATGGCACTGGGAAAGGCCTCAGACTGTCGGTCCCTTCCCTTTACCAACTGCACAGAGGCTGCAGAAGCTTCTCTGAGCTCGCCCTGTGAGACACACACATGGAGAACCTACACGTAAGGCCTCCAAAGACAGCTGAAGCAAAAGAGAAGAATTCCCCAAACCTCTGCAGGCAGTAAGAACCAGCCCACAATGGAGAGTGACACTGAAACAGGGATCCGGAATTCCAGATTGAGGGCGCTCAAGAGATCATTCCAAAGAGCTCAGCTTACAGATAGGGAAACAGGTTCCCAGAGGTCAAGGACTCACCCGAGGTTACACAATCAGTAATAAAGCCTCAGGAAAAACAGCTTTCTAGACTCCTAGTGTAGTGCTCTCTTGCTGTTGAAAGCAAAGCCATCTGCTTCATATAAGTAGCCTTTAAAGGCAAACCCTTGTTCATACTGAGAGGATGCTGGGAGAAAAAGCAGTGCCACGAATGTAGAGTTTTTAACTTCCCCGTGTGACTGGTATAAGGAAACTAGTCAATTTTTGTTTAATGTGGCTTTCTGAAAGATTTGCTGCACTCTGAACTGTATAAACCTGAGGTCCTCAACGGGCAGATAATCTTTCCTTCAGTGAAGTCACTGTAATGATAGTCGACTTGCAGGAATCGGGGCCACTTCTGTAGGAATGCATCCGCGTGGTAAAGTGCGAAGCCGCCTCCGCGTGGGGCAGCGGAGGAGGAACGACAGGGAGGAGGCTCGGTCCATGCCTTTCGTGGAGCTATTGCTTGTGGAGTGACTAAAGGGAAACTGCTTCTTCCTGTCTGCTTTCCCCCTTGCTGGGGCACTTCCTAGAAGGCAGCGTACGCTGGGTCAGGCCCAGCTCAGTCCGGGAATTTTCCCAAAAGGGGAACAATGAAGTCAGCTGAAGTCTCCAACCACAGGAGAGGGTGCAGTTTCTGCCAGCAGCATTATGGGTGCTCAAGGAGGGAGACGCATGAGGCTCACGCACTTCCGACGCCTCTGGAAGGTGAGCGGAGAGCTGGAGTGGGGGCGGGGTGTCATTCCAGCAGGAATCTGCATGCTCTGCCCCCTGCAAACGTCAGCCAGGGGGCCGGGTCAGAGAAACCTCAACCTACAAGGTAGCTCCTTAATCCCTCAGAGGCAGCACAGACCCTTCTGCTTTCAAAGTCTGAGGAGAAGAACTCCAAGGGGAGAAGGCAGGAAGCTCCCCAGGTGGAGCTAATGGCTGATAATTCTTAGTGGGCAGGTGGGCCCTCAGCACAGACAAGGAGCGAACTGGAGGTGGTGAGGGGAGAAGGCGTTAACCACACGGAGGAGGGGCTGCTCTAAGATACAGAAGCGACCCACCGGGAGCAGAGGAGAATTCTGGCTACTGTTGATGGTGGGAGGTTTCTGTATCTCCCCACTTGGGCCCAAGTGGGCTATGCTACCTTAGGGACAGGGACAAGGAAAGAGGACTCATGCACCAGAGAAGGCTGGGTCTGGGTGACTGTCCAGGTTGTAGTCTGTGATCCCCTCTGGCCAACTGGCAAAAATTACCTGAGCCACACCCCAGCTCTCTACCAGTCTCCCAGCCAAGGCCTTGTGTCCAGCTGGCTGACTGGTCTTAGATACTTCGCAGGGCAGGAGGTGGAAGAGCTGAGAAGCAGGAGCAGAGGAGACCGCACACTTCACCCAGCCGCCTCAGTTCTCCTCAGCACAAGGCCTACTTGGCCGTAAGCGCTCCTCGGCCCGAACTCGCCCAAGCTCTGGCAGCCCCGGCTTCACAGGGAATTCAGACCGCTCCAAGGAGTTGTGCAGTCGCCCATGGACACTGAATGTGCAGTCTTCACTTTCCTCCTGTGTCAATAAATAACAGAAGTGAGAAAAGTGAGCTACAGAAAACATTGAAGAAAAAGACAGCCACACCTCCCACTGCAGTAGGTCTCTTCCAAGCTGGCAGAGGCAGAAAGACCATAAAATCATTGCAGAGATACTTCTGCCTTGGAAACCAGGGTAGACCTGGAACTCCACGCTGGTGGAGACAACCACAGACCAGGAGGGTCACAAATGAACGGGAGCCCAGTCTAGGACAGAGCACGGCAGGGGAGCATGGGAGGGGGACCCCTAGCAGCAGCCAGCAGTGTGCATTCTGCACACCCCGTGTTCTGGAGCTGAGAGCCATTTCCTCATGGGACAGGGAGTATGGCAAAAAGAAGGCTGGACAGCTTTGATCCGCCCCGAACACCTGTGCCTTCCCCTGTGTATTCTGTGCCTGTCCCTCTACTGTAACTCCTCTTAGATAGGCAGTTTCAGGGCTCTGAGTACCTGTCTTCTCCGGTGTATTCTGGAATTCTGCCTTTTTAATGTTCTCTTTTTGTCTTTCCAAGCAAGTGCAGATCAAAAACATAATGAAAGTATGAGCTGGCTCTTCCAGGAATTCACCTGGGTGGCCTTGGGTGAAGCACTTTGTGTCTGTGACCCTCAGCTTCTACATCTGGAGAATGGAGATAACATCTGCCCCCAGGGCTGTTGAAGGACTGAAGAATGATGGGCGGGCAGTGCTCTGTCCATTACAAAGACTTACAGGCTCTTCCAGTTAACCTCACCCCACAGCGGGTCAAGCAAGGAGCAAGATGTCTGTCACGGTCACAGGCTCCATACCTAGAAGATAGTCCCAGGGGCTTCTCTTCAGACAGTAGGCTCATACTCTGACCCTGAAGTAAGGCAGGTGGTTCTGGATTGAGCCATTCTGAACCAGCCCCGGCCTAGCTGAATGATACAATGGGCAAGACGGAGTGGAGGGGAGCAGGAGGCACTTGAACTTGTCAGTCCCCACGTCCCCGCTCTAGGACAGAGCTCACAGCTTCCTGCTGGCACTCAGAGCTCCGTGCGAGCCCTGCAGGTCCCAGGTGCTGCTCTGGGAGCTCCGCAGAGGAGCCACTCAGGCTGTTCTGGCCAACCAAGAGAACAGAGGCCAGGTTCCCATACGCGTCACTGTCACACGTGAGAGCAAAGTGGAGGAGACAGACTAGAAAAGGGACGCTGGCAAGTCATGCCCTTGTCTGCCCAACCCACCTGGTATCCACAGTTCTCTGAGCTCCCCACCTCTCCCAGTGTTTGCAAGCCCCAGGTCCCCAAGTCTTAGTCACGCAGACCAGGGCAGAGGGAGAAAGAAGAGGAGAAGAAAGGGGGGTGGGGGGACTCACCACGCCTGCGGAATGGTTCCAGGCTGCAGCCGTGACCATGTCTCCTGCCTGACTCCGATGGGTGAGCACCTCGGACACCGTGAGGCTACTTTGGGTCCTTCGGGAGGAAAGCTCGGCTGCATCCCCAGAAGTTCCTACCCTTCGAGTGCCTGACTCAGAAAGGTAGGATCTGGGCTGTTCAAGTTCTGAGAAGTCTGTGGAAGACCTCTGGACGTAAGCATTGGTAGACTCCATGTTTCTACCTGCTTGAGCTGAGCGGTCGTCTACAGATTTCAAGTCTCGCTTACTCTTCCAGGCGTTGCGCACAGTAACGTGCCTGGCATCCGAGGAGCCCATCTCTGAAGGGGCGCTGTGACTCTTCCACCTGATTGTCTCTGCGGGGGCGGTGTGGCTGTTCCTCTCCACAGCGTCCGAGGGCTTGATTAGAATGCTGCTCCGAGACACCACCGTGTCTGGCCTATTCCTTGAGGGCCCGTCTCCCAGTCTTTCAGCTTCTGCGAGCTGCACAGTGATGTCATGCTTATGAAGAGAGAGCTCAAAGGGGGAGCTGACGTGGTTGCTAACCGGTATGAGCTCTGGGAGCCCGACCTGGATGTTGCTGGTGGACGTGTGCCTCTCCCTCGGGGCCTCACCTGGGCCGGCTCTAGGGCTGCTGCTGTCAGAGGGGTAGATGGTAATGCTGCTTGTCACTTTGTTTGGCCCTGGCTTACAGGATTTCTGTTTCTCTAACACAGCCTCAGTTCCAGATCCTCCCATGATTTTTTTCACATTCTTATCAATGATAACAGGTTTGATGACACCTCTAGACCGCAAGGCTTCTCTGGGACTGAAGGGTCTCTGGCTTTTTACCCCAGCACCACTGGGATCTGGGAGTTCCACGGCATTGCTAGAGGCTCTGACGGGTTTCACAGGTTCGTTTTCGATCCCAGCATTTTTCTCATTCTCAAACAGGGAGGTTCTGTGTTCCCCTCGGGATCTGGCCTTTTCTCTAGAGTTGGGCGGTAGTTTGGGCTCGGGCTCTGGAGTGATGGTTGTGTTCACCAACTTGGCAGTAACCAGAGATGCCATGTCCAAGTCATCGTCCGAGTCAGGCTTCTCTCCGCCACTGGATTTGATGACCCGACACCTCAGGGCTTCGTGCTGACTGCTGTCCTCCATCACAACTGCTACGGGCTGCTCAGCTTCTTTACTTGGGGTTGAAAAGCCCTGAAGGATGTTCTCTTGGCTCCTGGAGCTGTAAGAGTACTTTGATAAAGTAGGAGCCTTAGAATTGGGGGAACCAGTATCAGCCTCCAGGCCATTGGCAGCCTTTTTACCTTTAGAGAGTCCTTCTGCAGATAACCTTCGAGATGAGGCCAGAGCACCAACGGCCTTAGAGCAGACAGGGTCCGCGGCCTGAGTTACCTGACTCCCACTGCCAGGCGGCTGTCCTCGCTTGCCAAGCTGGGCCTCTGACGAGGAGTCTGCAGCCTTGTCGGCTCTGCCCAACGCGTCACCAGGAACAGACCCATGCGTGGAGTTACTAAACGTCCGTGTTGTCTTCTCTACTTTTCCCTTCAGTCCGCTCTCGGCGCCTGGCTTGGGAGTTCCCTTCCAGACCTTGTGCTCCTGGGCAGCTGGTGGGTAGCGGCTAAGCACGGATGGCTGCTCCCTGGCCTTCTTCCCTTCACTCTGCGAGGACCCAGGGCCAAATCGGTCTTCAGTTCTCTTGGTTTCCTGAGCCCCGCCGTCTGTACCTGCCCCCACAGTGGAAGCTTTGGCTGCCCTCCTGCTGGGGAAGCTGGGAGAGGAAGCCTGCCTGCCGCTCAAAGCGTAGTTCTCACTGTTGAGGGCAAGCTCCCTGTTTCGGAGCCTTTCTCGCTTATGCTGAGGTGACAGGTCCCGGGACGTGTGCTTGGCCACGCACGCCTCCCCGCCATGGCCTCTAAGCTTAGTCCTCTCGTGCCTGCCTTTGCTGGACAGGAAAGCGTCTTCCCCCTCTATTTCTCCATTTTCTAACTCTTTCTGTTTCTTGATTTGTAGCTTTATCTCTTCCAGCTGGCTGGCTAAGATTTTGTTTTTATTTTGCTCACTCAGGTAATTATCTTGAAGGTCATTGTTCTTGGCCCTCATTTTCTTAAGCTCCTCTTCCAGTGATTCAAAATGTTTGATCTGCGTCTTAAGCTTCTCAATTTCTTGGTTAAGGTCTTTGACCTTGTTGTCCTCTTGATTTCGGTTCTTTTCATTTTCTGATTTGTTTCTTGTCTCGTTCTCCACCTGCTTTAGGTAGTCCAGGGCGCCCTTCCTTCTCGATTCCTTGGACGGCAGCGTAGAGGTGATGCCGTCCTCAATCCGCAGGTCATTCCTTTCCAGAAGAGTAGACGCGTTCCTTGTGTAATCTCGGTTCATCTTCTTGTTCTGCTCCAGTTTCTGAGTGAGCTCTTTAATCAATTTCTCATTTTCTTTCTCCTTTTCATTCAAGTATTTCCTCTCACTGACAAAGCTCAGTGTTAATGACTTCAGCTTTTCCAGCTCTGACGCTAAATTTTGCTCCGTTTTATCCAGGCGGTCCTCAGAAGATTCCAGTTCTTTCACTTTGACTCTGAGCATTTCCAGCTCGGAGGAGATTTTCTTGGTCAGATTTCTCTCCTCATTCAGGCTCAAACAAAGCTGGGTACAGTCATTCTTGCTCCTACTGAAGGCCTCCTCTAGCTTCTCCAACTCAGCCATGCGTTTCTGAAGCCGTTCAATCTCCGACTTCAGCTCCCGGGTGAGGTTCTCCTCCTCTTCAAGTTTCTCCTTCATCAGATGACACAAATCCTCCGCTCTCTTGATTTCCTCATCTTTACCTTCAATTCGCAGCACCTGCTGGCGCAGCACTTCAATCTCAGCCAACATGCTGGAGTTGCTGCCTTCTGCCTGAATCACCTTGTCCTGGAGATCCAGGAGCTCATCCTCTGCTTTCTGGAGGTTTTTTGTGGCTTCCTCCAACTCATCAAGGCGCCGGCTCAGGCTTTGTAACTTGAACCGCAGGTGGCGGCTGGAGGCAGTATCTTTGTAGCTCGCAACTTCAGCCATGTCTACTGCCAGCCAATGTGGGCTCCTCTAGAGGCATCCAATTCCACTTGAGGGGATGAGAAATGGTTACCTTTCTCTTGGCATCCACAGCCTTCTTCGGCAGCTGGAGACCATCGTCAGTCTAGAGGAGGACAGCAGAAACCACATCAGCCCACGAATACGAAACCTGCACTTTAGATCTCACTTGTAAAAATACCTCCCCACCCCTATCTGTAGTCCTCGTGCCTAGAACATAGCAGGTGCTTAATTTGTTGAATGAATGATCTTGAGTAAACCAATATAAAAACACTGATTCATTAGAGCCAACACAGAGCTGATAACCTAGCTTCACTGTGATGAAGAATGCTGCCCCTGACCATGTGGTAAAAAGATGCAAGAGGGCCAGTTCTCAAGGAGAATCGTTAAACCTTTCTGTCCACTACTGAGCAAACGGAGCTTCAGTCTTAAATGAATACTGCGGGTAATGATGCCTACACATACTGCATCTCTTCCCGGTATTGTTCAGAGATAACACATGGAAAGTTCTTGGCAACAACGCACTAAATTCTGAGATTATTATAAGGAAATGTTATCTCTTGTGAGCTACTGTGACTTAAAATGATAGAAATTAATCTATCCAGCTTACTACATAAATGGTGAGCTTTACACTGTGCTAAAGCAATCTCTCCTTACCTGTTTCTTCTCCCAAAAATGTAGCTATATTTTGAAATGAGATTACAGTGGGCCCTGACCCTGGCCAGACAATAAGCAGCTTCTACAAAATTTAGCCTTTTGCCTTATAATAGGAATGCTCCTTCAGCCTGAGATGAAGAAAGCTGTTTCTCTGAAAATCATTTCACTAGGGGTGCATACTGAACATCAGGTTACGCGAAGGAAAGGGAGAAAGGAAGAAGTCTAAGTGGACTTCAGCTTTGTATGTCGCTATGGCTTATATCTAGATGTGCTCCCAAAGCCTCCTGCAGTCATAGGTGGGGCTTTTCAGAGGTGGATGGATCTAGAGTGTGTGCTGCAGTCATAGGTGGGGCTTTTCAGAGGTGGATGGATCTAGAGTGTGTGATGCTGGGATCAAGGGTGTGTGAATACTGGAAAACCACTGATTGGTTTGGCAGAGTTCCAAGTAGGATTAAGGGTGCCCACCCCCGGGTGTGAGTGCTACCCACCCGTAAGGGTATGTATCCTAGATAAGATACAGGAGACACGGAGGGGGGCTGCTTGTCTCTTACTGCTGCTGCTGCTGCTTGTCTTTGGCTGCCTCCTGCCTGCTCTGCGGTGCTACCCTGCCTTGGAGCCAGCCAGTTACGGACTGAAATGTCTACGAACCGTGAGCTACAAAACAAACTGTCCACCTCCTTAACTTTGGGGGTTGGGTATTTTGTCTCGGCAATGAAAAAAGGAAACAAGACATATGTCATCTTCTCATTCATAAAAAGTAAGAAGAGACTGGGTCAATATAAGTATTTCTACGTAAAGACTAACCTCGTACTGCGACTGAACAAAGTACCAATAAGAACCAAGGTTAACAGGATTACTGACTAGAAACTATGACGTAAGTTTATTCCAGTGTTTGAAGTTATAAAAAGAGAGAAAGAAATAAGATGCTATCAACAAAGATCACAAGACTGGAAAAATCAAACAGAACTAGAAATAGTACAAAAATAGCACATTACAGGCAAAGAGAAAATATAAGATGTAATCAAAAAATATGGTGAATGTTTAAACTTTAAAAACCATTACAGCAAAAGACACATGCCCTAAACCCACCTCAAAATACTTGGCTTCTCTTCTACCACACTTATCCCATCATTCTTGCCCCTTTCTGAAGCAGTTCTGGAAGTGCTCTTTCTTATCTTTAGTTCCACTGTCATGGCTGCCTCAATGACCCGAATTATTCAAAACACTCGCCTTTCATAGTCATTCTGATGTTAGAGAAGCATCAGAAGTCACACCCACCACGCTGGGTCCAGTGAACGAGGGCACACAGGTGTTCCCTGCCTGCCTTTCCATTACAGGACACCGGGCGGCTGCACTGACCTATTTCTGGTCACACCTTGTAACAACCCTCACGAAGAGGACGCCTACAACTGCTTCGCAAATTGACAAGGACAGAATACGTTTGAAGCGAGAGGGAGGATTTTGAGGGGGATGGACAGAAATGTGCCTTTCACCATACTACATTTTTTTAATTTAAACTTTCACTGTTTATTTTTTATCATATCTCATATTAGTCAAGAGGTATGATGGATTACAAAAGGCAGTAGAGGCTTAAAAAGATGGAAAAAGTGAGAAAGAAATTGACAGGTAAGAAAAATAAAGAGGTCCAAAATGAAGAAGCTCAATAGGCAGCTCAAGGACGAAATAAAGACTGGGAAGTACAATATTCGAAGAGATGTCAGTGAAGATCCTTCAAGAGCTCGTGAAAGATATGGAACCTCATGTTTGGGACGCAAAGTCCCAAACAGGAGACTATTAAATCTGTGCCTAAATGCATCACAGGACAGAGAACACCACCACACAGAAGTCTCATAAAAGCAACTGTCTGCCTGTGCTGCTTAATAAAGTATCTAACTGATGGTTCCTTAAATACTTGTACCCTCACATGGCAGAAGGGACAAAAGGCAAAAAGGGTCCAACTCGGGCCCTCAGGCCCTTCTGTAAGAGTCCTAATCCCGCCCATGATGCCACTCCAACAATGGCAGCAGCAAAAGCCACAGGCAGCGAGCAGAGCCACCCACGAGGCCGCTGCAGGGCCACTCGGGGCCTCAACACCGCCTGAAGGCCCCACCCCCTCGTTCTGTTGCACAGGGATTTAGTGCTTAACACGAATTTTGGAGGAGGTCACACACGCCAACTACAGCAACAACCGATGAAGAAACAGCAATGAACCAACCTCTTCTCGGCAGAAACTTTTAAGGAGGTGGCAAGTAAAAGATAAAAGACATGGTAATACCTGCAAGGTTCTAAAAGAAACTGTTAATCTAGAACTACATATCCAGCCAAACTTGGGAAATTAATAGCTAATTTAACTTTAATGAGTTACTCATTAGCACTATCAAGGAGCTGGATGTAAGAGGCACGTATAACAGTCTACTTCACCCGACAACACAAAATGACACATTCATTTCAAGCTGACCTGTCACAGTCACCAAAACAATACATTCTGAAACTAGAAACACTTTCAGAACAAGTAAAAGTAAAATGAAAACCTCATAATGTATTGACAAACCCTCACTAAAAGAACTTTACTAATTGCTTTAGTAGCACATCATTTAGAAGGCAAAAACTAGCTGGGCATAGTGACATAAATTTATAATTCCAGCACTCTGGGAGGCTGAGGCAGGAGGATCAACAGTGCAGAACCAGCCTGGGCAATGTAAGCAGTTGGAGTGACTTAAGACCCTGTCTCAAAAAACAAAATGGGCTAGAGATGTAGCTTAGTGAGAAGGCTCCGCTGGGTTCAATCCTCAGTACAGCACTCCCCCCCAAAAAAAGATAAAAATTTATCCTTTAAAGAAGGCAGAGGTTCAAGAAGGAATGGTAAGGAAATAAATGAACCCAAGTCGACATTGGCTCAGTTAAACAATAAAAATCAATGAGGTTATAAGGCGTGGGATAAAATCAAAATATCTGTTTCTGTAGACTGCTGTCCAAAACACTAGACAACAGTAACTTGTAAATCATATAGACAGGAATCAGAACTTAAAAGCTCTGAAGATTTTGTATTGCTCAGGAGAAGGAAAGGGTTACAAATAGCTTTTGACTCCAGATTAAGAATAGATGTTAATCATATCTGATAAGGGCCTAAAATTCAGCGTATATGAAGAAGTTCTACAACTCAACAATTATACAACTCTATAATTCAATCAGTCAACATTAAGTAGAAGAAAAGCAATAAAAAATCAGAAATGAAGTTGAAACACAAAATAAGAGGGGGAAAAATCAAAACCAACAGATCAAAAAAATCCGTAAGACTAGCAGAGTAAGAAACAGAGAAAATACAACAAATTACTAATATCAGAAATGAAAGAGGAAGCCTCACTACAAACCTTACAGACATTAAAGGATAATAAAGGAATTAACAATTTTATGACCACAAATTTGATAACCTAGATGAAATGGTCACAGTCTGTCCAAACTCATACAGTGGACAATCTGCACAGGACTGTATCCACCGAAGACACTGAATCATTATCAGTAACTCTCCAAAACAGAATGAACCAGACCCATGGGGGTTCACTGAGGAATACTACCAAGCATTTAAAGAGAAAATTATACCAGTTTTCTACAATTTCTTTCACAAAATGCCAGCAGCAGGATTACCTCCTGGCTCATTCTATGAGGCCATCATTACTCTAATAATAAAACCAAAGACATTACAAGAAAAGAAGACTACAACCAAATATCCCCATGCACATAGATGCAAAGATCTTCAACAAAATATCAGCAAATCAAACAATGTATAAAAATTATACACAACCACCTACTGGGATTTATCTCAGGTATATAAGATTATTCAACATCTGAAAATCAGTTAATGTAATTCAAATCAACGGGTTAAAAAGAAAAATAAGCAGACTGTGGGGGTGCTCACTTTGAATCCTAGCTACTTACTCGCCAGTAACCCTAGTAGTTGGGAGACCGAGGCAAGAGGATCACAAGCTCAAGGCCAGACTGGGCAACTTAGTAAGATCCTGTCTCAAAATGAAAAACAACTTTAAGGGTTCGGAACATATTTCAGTGGATATGTGGTGTGTTCAAAATACATGGTGAATTTTTTTTTAAAAAATGTATTATCCTAAACAACACATTGCCATTAACCCCCTAAAATATACTCCCCCTTGCTTCATACACACATCTCAATTGTTTCCACTTTCTGAAGTTCTGGAAGTCCTCTTTCATGCATGTCTTTTGAAGATGAGATAAAAAATACAGTGAATGCTGCTGCCTCATGCCATCCAGCACAGAAAAGCAGGCTGTAAAACGTTATGGTATATCCACATCCACCTTAGTCATGGGATCTGGCACTGTGCAACTTCTGGCTCCTCCCCAAAGTCAAAATGACCGTGAAAGGTAAATGTTTTGAATCAGTTCAGAACACTGAGGCAATCATGACAGCACAACTGA